TTGCAAGAAGATTGCACAGACTGATACAAGCAGCGGCATGACAAAGTAGCAACAATGGTGCATTGGAAGATCTGCAAAAAATATCATTTGCCTGTAAGCAAAAACTGGTGGGATCATAAAATAGAGAAAGTCATAGAAAATGATAAAATTAAACTGCTCTGGGACTTCAGAATTCAAACAGACAAGCACCTGCAACATAACACCCCAGACTTAACAATTGTCGATAAGAAAGACAAAAAAGTCTGGATAGTGGACGTGGCAGTGCCTGGAGATAGCAGAATAGAAGAGAAAGAACTGGAGAAGATAACAAAATACAAAGACCTACAAATAGAAATAGAAAGACTGTGGCAAAAGCAAGCAAGGGTAGTACCAATAGTCATAGGCTCCTTGGGTGCAATCCCAAAACAACTGGAGCACCATTGAACACCATTGGCATTGACAAATTCGCTATTAGTCAATTGCAAAAGGCAGCCTTATTAGGAACTGCTTCCATCCTGCGACGATATCTGTAATACCATCAAACATCCACATCTGCCTATCCCAGGTCCTGGATAAGGACTCGATAGGTAGACAAAATGCCAAATCCAGTCTGAACATCTGGCTGACTGTGCGATGATTGATAATAATAATAATAATAAAGTTGGAAGGGACTTTGGAGGTCATCTAGTCCAACCCCCTGCTCAGGCAGGAAACCCTACACCATTTCAGACAAATGGCTGTCAAGTCTCTTCTTAAAAACATCTAGTGTTGGACCATTCACCGCTTCTGGAGGCAGGTTGTTCCATTGGTTAATTGTTCTAACTGTCAGGAAGTTTCTCCTTAGTTCTAAGTTGCTTCTCTCCTTGATCAGTTTTCACCCGTTGCTCCTTGTCCTGCCTTCAGGCGTTTTGGAAAATAGCTTGACTCCCTCTTCTTTGTGGCAGCCCCTGAGCTTTTGGAACACTGCTATCATGTCCCCCTCGTCCTTCTCTTCATTAGACTAGACAAACCCAATTCCAGCAGCCTTTCCTTATATGTTTTATCCTCCAATCCCCTAATCATATTTGTTGCTCTTCTCTGTACTCTTCCTAGAGTGTTAACATCTTTTTTACATCGTGGTGACCAAAACTAGATTCAGTATTCCAATTGTGGCCTTACCAAGGCATTGTAGAATGGTATTAATACTTCACGTGATCTTGATTCTAGCCCTCTGTTAATGCAGCCCAGCACTGTGTTGGCCTTTTTGGCAGCTGCAGCACACTGCTGGCTCATATTTAAGTGATTGTCCACTAGGACTCCGAGGTCCCTCTCATAGTTACTACTATTGAGCAAGATAGCCCCTATACTATACCTGTACATTTGGTTTTTCTTGCCTAAATGTAGAACCTTACTTTTTTCACCATTGAATTTCATTTTGTTAGATAGTGCTCAGTGTTCAAGTCTGTCCAAATCCTTCTGTATCTTAAGCCTGTCTTCTGGAGTGTTGGCTATTCCTGCCAGCTTGGTGTCATCTGAAAATTTGATGAGTTCTCCATCTATCCCCTTGTCCAAATCATTGATGAAAATGTTGAAGAGCACTGGGCCCATAACAGAGCCCTGGGGCACCCTACTACACACTTCCCTCCATGTAGATGCGGTTCCATTGAGGACCACACGCTGAGTACGGCCGGTCAGCCAGCTACGGATCCATCTGGTGGTGATGCTGTCTAACCCACATTTTTCTATCTTATCAAGTAGTAGTTGTGATCTACTTTATCTAATGCAGCGGTTCTCAACCTATGGGTCGCGACCCCATTTGGGGTCGATCAACCATTTTACGGGGGTCGCCAAACAAGGCGATCTGCCATTTTCCCCCCTCAGGGGGCGGCGTCGCGCATGCACGGCACGTTTGTGTGACAGGGGTCGCCGTCACACAAACGTTGAGAAAAGCTGATCTAATGCCTTACTTAAGTCCAAATAAATTATATCTACAGCATTCCTCTGATCCACTAATTTTGTCACTTTGTCAAAGAATGCAATAAGATTTGTCTGGCATGATCTGTTTTTGACAAACCCATGTTGGCTTTTAGTAATGACTTTGTTTGCCTGTAGGTGTTCACTGATTCGTTGTTTGATTATCTTTTCCAGAATCTTCCCAGGTATTGAGGTCAGGCTGATAGGTCTGTAATTTCTTGGGTCCTTCCCCCCCCCTTTTTTTTTTGAAGATGGGAACTACATCAGCTCTTTTCCAGTCCTCTGGTAGTTCCCCAGTGCTCCAGGATCTTTGAAAAATATAGTTCAATGGTTCTGAGATCACATCTGCCAGTTCCTTGAGAACCCTGGGGTCTAATCCATCTGGTCCTGGTGATTTGAACTCATCTAGGCTGGACAGGTGCTCACTTACCGTTTTCTTGCCTATCTTAACTTGCATTTCTATTCTGTTTTTTATGGCACTATTTTTGTTTTTTCCCTTTGTATAAAGACAGATGCAAAAAACGAGTTCAATAGTTCTGCTTTCTCCCTGTTGCTTGTCACCTTCTTGCCACTTTCCCCCACTAATGGACCAATCATTTCCTTCACTTTTTTCTTGTTTTTTATGTTGAAAGAAGCTTTTTTTGTTATTTTTGTCTTTGGTCGCAAGCCTTAGTTCATTTTGAGCCTTAGCTTTCCTCACTTCATCTTTGCAGGCTCGGGCTATTTGCTGATATTCTTAGTTATGTGCTCCTATTTCCACTTTCTATACTTGTCCTTTTTATCTTTCAATTTATCAGAGTGTTCTTTATGCAGCCATGCTGGTTTCTTTTGAGAGTTGTTATTTTTCCTCTTTGTTGGTATTGTGCTGGACTGGGCATTTATTATCTCACTTTTCAAAATTTCCCAAGCTTCTTGAGTTGTTTTCCCCTTGAGGATTCTCATCCATGGAATCCTTCCCAAGCCCTCTCTAAGTTTATTGAAATTAGCTCTCTTAGTCCAAGACTCTAGTTTGACTCTGTTCTATTGCTTGTGCTTCCATAATATTGAATTCCAATATTGCATGATCACTTTCTCCCAAGGTTCCTGTGGCTTCAACACTTTCTATAATTTCATCTCTGTTACTGAGAATTAGATCCAAAATGGCTAATCCTCTAGTTCCCTTCTCTACTTTTGGGGAGACAAAATTGTCTGCTAGGTTTGCAAGGAATCTGTTTGATCTTCCACTTGGTGCAGAGTTAGTCTCTCAGTTGATGTCAGGGTAGTTAAAAATTTGGATGATGGGCAATTGAGTCATAGTTGTGACAGTTGCAGTGTCTCAGGGTCATGTGATCTGTCTTTTTCAATCTTCTGATAATCGAAGTCAGTGGGGAAGCCCAATTCTCGTTAACAACCGTGTTACCAACTTAGCAACTGCAGTGATTCAATTAACAACTGTGGCAAGATATAAAATGGGGCAAAACTCACAACTGTTTTGCTTAGCAATAGAAATGTTGGATTCAGTTGTGGGCGTAAGTACAGGACTACAAGTATCAGTCTTTTTTCTGGACATATTGAAAACATGAACATGCACTTACCTGTATAAATACTCGTACATTTATTTTGGAGGGGAGTGACATAGCATTTGTTCTATTTAAAATAAAATATTGGTGACCCTAGTGAGTATTGTTAAATGGGTACCTTTTGCTTTCTGTGTCTCTGAGTAACTATTTTGCTAACAGTAATCTTTCTTCTCCTGTTATTTAATTTCTAACAGCAACCTGGAATATTTGTTCCTGAGTGATCTGCCAGGGATACGAGAGAAGGAAAGAACAGTTCAGTCCCTTAAGAAATCAATGCCAGCACTAGAGTTGGAATTAGACTTGGAATGAAATCCTTGCCATTCAACGTCACATCATTTGCATTATTAAATCTGTGATCTGATCCTGTGATCAGCCCACGGTTATTGTGGAAGTCCTTGGCTACTTAAGAGAAGAATGCTATAGACAGAAGCATGCAAGGCACCTTAAACTCCAAGACTATACAGAATCCCAGAATGTATGGAAAAGATGAGAAATAAGTCTCTATTCTTAAGGGTCTTTTATGTTTTTATTGGAAAAGTTGACACTATGAGGTAAATATAGAGATTGCTGGCCTCTACAGTCATAATTAAAAGTGTTGTGAATCAGCTTTTGGAGGAAAATTCCTTTCCTATTATAAATAATGCGGGAATTTGAGGATGCTAACCCACAATAATAAATACAGTATAACTAATGATATTGAGATTTCTGATGTTGAACATCAGAGGCCACATCATTACTCTAATTCTTGTTTTGATAGAAAGTGGTCTTTAAAATACGTTGGAGAGCATATTTAATATATTAAATGAATCCTGTGAAGAAAATATACATATTAAAATTTTATTTCTACTTATTCTAGTAAAAATAATATTGATTAAAATTTAAAGGAACAAAATGTTTAATTAAAGAGCCTGTTTACATTTTATTTATTTTGTTGCGAAAACAACGAAAAAGGAAAAAAGTTAGAATCCAGACATTTCTGGTTCCCGTCTGTAGCCTCCAAAGCCACCTCTCCATCCCCTTGCACAAAAAACCTGCAGGTTCAGCCTGCCAAGGAAGCTAACTACATATCTGGTATAAGACCAAGGGTTCTCTCTTGCTTTGACACAAGGGGATTTTGTGAATGAAATATATTTGGCATATATGGGTCCCCTCCACCAATTCCCGCTGCAGCAGAAGCAAGAATTCTTGTCCCATAGAGTATAAATTACAAAGGCTTGATAATTAGAGATACAATTTTCCAAGAGGCCCAAATGGCATTTTCCTGCTGAACTTTGATAAATTATTTCAAACCTTCTGTTGACTGTGTGTGTGTGTGTGTGTGTGTGTGTGTGTGCGCGCGTGCGCGCTCACGCATTCAGCATATATTTTCTTTCCAAGGTTTGTCACTTTTCAACTAGAAAATTGTGGTTTGCTTTAGCTTCTGCAAGTGTAGATACTGTGATTGTCTTCCAAGTTTCCTTCATGGTTAGGAACACAAGAAGACACAGAATGAACTAGCTGTGACATTTGCTTTTTTTTTTTTTTTAGATGTTTGGGAAACGGTAGTTGAGTTTTCTTGTTCCACAGTAATACTTCTTGTTATCCAAAGCAGGTAAAATGTTGCTGCTGGTTAATTGGGGCAGATACTGTAAATGAAAGATAAAGTATAAATTATAATTCACTGGAGGACATGCGCATGCCCTTCATTTTAGCCTATTTCAATGCAAGTTTCTCAGAAAAGTTCAACACTATAATCCTGAGGCTCCCTACTCCTCTAGTATATAGGAAAATGGTAAAAGCAGATGGCTTCTGAAAGTTTTTACCAATGCTAATTATTCTAAACACAGATTTTCATTTTGCTTTTAATTTTTTTAATGGTAAATTGTCTTAAACATTGGAATAAATAGAACAGGTGAGGTAACAGTCACAAACAAGGGGGGAGGGGGCTCACTTCCTGTGGTTTGCATTGCCTAGTGTGTCTTACCCCAGGCATGTGCCTTCGAGGTGGCCGGTTTGGTTTCCGTGTAATGGATCTTTCTCGTTCCCTCATAAGTTCTACCTCCCGAATGCTATCAAAATAAGGATGCTGAAGGAGCTGTTCACAGGTCAACCTTTCAGTGGGATCCATATGGAGACAGCCCTGAGACAACACAAGCAGGAGACCGAAATGCATACCAACTAACATGTAATTATGGATTCAAAAGAGCATTCAGGAAAATGAAATGTATTTCTCTTAGCAGAGAGTAAAAGGGGCGTTGTCTTACCTGAACACCTTTTCTCAGCAGGATGGTGTAGAATCCATCGATGGTAATTTCAGCCTTCCTGCTCAGACGAGACTAAGAGAGAGCTTTAGCCACGCCTCCCTCTGGGTGTGCCTTCCCAGTTTTTGTCGAGGCAATGTATCTCTGACGAAGTCTTGGCGCAAGGCTCCAAACAAAAAGTTAATACACATGTCTAGACTACCTTAACAGGGAGGGTGTGGATTCTACACCATCCTGCTGAGAAAAGGCGTTCAGGTAAGACAACGCCCCTTCTCCAGCAGGATGGATGTAGAATCCACCGATGGGGCATACCAAAGCTGCTCATGTCCCCATAGGGAGGGGAAGTCTAGGCTTGTGTCCCCTGAGAAGTAACCACTTGCTGTAGGACTTGCCTACCAAAAGCAGCCTCCGCCGCTGCAAACTGATAATCTTATAATGCTTGATGAAGGAAGAGGGAGAGGACCATGTTGCAGCCCTATAAATCTCCTCAATTGAGGCCTGGGTAGACCAGGCTGCTGAAGCCGCTGCACTACGTGTTGAGTGGGCTGTAATGTGCGAAGGAACCGGAAGGGACTGGGAAAGGTAAGCCCTGGAAATACAAGCCCGAATCCATCTGCCAATGGTGGAAGAAGAGACCTTCTTACCCATTGCGGCAGGCTGAAAAGACACAAACAAGGCCTCAGACTTTCGAAAAACCGAAGTCCGTTTGATGTAATGGCACAGAGCCCTGCGCACGTCCAACTTGTGCCACTGTCTCTCCAGCCGATGAGAAGGATTAGGGCAGAAGTTAGGGAGGACCAAATCCTGTGATCTATGAAAACCCGTATTGATCTTCGGGATAAAGGAAGGATCTAATCTAAGGACCACCCTATCCTTGTGGAAGGTACAAAGGTCATCTCTGACCGATAGTGCTGCTAATTCCGAGATCCTTCTGGCCGACGTGATAGCCACTAGGAAGGCCACCTTCAAGGTAAGAAATTGAAGGGAACAAGAGTTAAGTGGTTCAAATGGATGAGAAGTTAAGGCCTGCAGCACTGTGGCTAAATCCCAAGATGGGAAATGATATACTGTAGGCGGCCTAGCGTTGACTGCGCCCTTGAGAAAGGCACTGACTGCTGGGTGTTGTGACAAGGGAACTAGGTTGTCACAGTGAGGACCGTCGATAATGCCGCTACCTGCCTGCGTATAGTACTGGGTGACAAACCCTTATTTAGCCCCTCCAGTAAATACTCCAATATGTTCGGTATGGTAACGGAGAGTGGTGAGAGCCACGAGCAGAAGTTTCTCCATGTGGCATCATAGATCCTATTAGTCGAGGGGCGCCTTGAGGTTTGGATCATCGAGATCACCCCAGAGGAATAGGATTGCCTAGTCAGATTCTCCCGCTCAAGTGCCAGGCGGCTAATAGAAGCCACTGTGGATCCGGATGTTGGAGATTCCCTTGGCTGAGAGCCACTCGGTGCGGGGGAATCCTCCACGGTGGCGAGAGCGACAGATCCACAAGGTAGGCAAACCACAGATGCTTTGGCCAGTATTGAGCAATTAAGATTATCTCCGCCTGCTCTTGGATCAGCTTGCGTATGGTCGCTTGCAGCAACGGAAGGGGAGGGAATGCATAAAACACACCCTCCGGCCACCTGCACCGGAGGGTGTCCGTTCCCTCCACTCCCCTTGCTGGGAACCTGGTGAAGAATCTGGGGAATTGTGAGTTCCCCAGGGAGGCGAAGAGATCTAGACATGGATGGCCGAACCTGTGCGATATTTCCCTGAACAATTTTGGGTCCAGTCTCCACTCCGAGTGGTCCACTGTGGCCCTGCTCAAGGAGTCTGCCTGTTGATTTGCCTCCCCTGATATGTCTTCCACTCTGATGGAACTCAGAATAGACTCTGCCCAGAGCCCTATGGTCAGGGCTTCCTGCATGAGTGACCAGGATCGTGTCCCTCCCTGCTTGTTGATATGAGCCTTGGCTGCAATGTTGTTGGTCAGGATCAATACGTGTTGCCCTGACACAAGGGAGGAGAACCTTAGGAGAGCTAGGTGAATGGCCCTGAGCTCGAGCCAATTTATGTTGTGGGCCAAGTCTGACCTGGACCATTGACCCTGGGCCAGATGGAACTGAAGATGGGCCCCCCAACCGAACAGACTGGCGTCTGTGGTCAAGGTGATCCAGGGGGGCTCCTTGAAAATGGTCCACTTGGTCATGGCGGATGAAGTCCACCAGAGGAGTGACGACAGTATGTGATGAGGAACCCTGACTTTCTTGTTGGAAGCACTGATATTCCGTCTCTGGAAAGGAAGAAGGAACCACTGAAGGTTCCTGGAGTGAAGTCTGTCCCACGGAACGATGACCATCTTTCCCAGCAGTTGGGATAATTGCACCAGGGGCACCACCTTCTCCCTCCGAACTTGCTGGACCAGCTTTCGAATGCTGATCTGCCGCTTCTAAGAGAGATAGACCTTGCATAGACCCGAATCTATCAATGTTTCCAGATGGAGCAAATGTTTTGTAGGTGTCGTGTGACTCTTTTTGAAGTTCACGGAGAACCCGTGATCCTGAAGTGTCCGAATCGTGACTTCCAGATCCGAATCATGACTGGAAGGATCTGGACTGCACTAGTATGTCGTCCAGATAACACTGTATGCGCACTGGCATCATCCTTAGATGTGCCGCCAGTACGGCCAAGATTTTTGTGAAGACTCTCGGGGCTGAGGAGAGTCCAAAGGGGAGGGCCCTGTACCGGTTAGTGCTGGTGCGCGTGACAGAACCGCAGGAACCTGCGGTGCTCTTGAAGAATCGGGATGTGAAGGTATGCCTCTGTCAGGTCGATGGAGGAAAGGAAGTCCCCCTTTCTGATGCTGGCCAAGATTGACTTTAGGGTCTGCATTTTGAACCTTTTGTAGGTTAAGAAATAATTTAGACCCTTTAAATCCAGTATCGCCCTCCATTCTCCTGAGGTCTTGGGAACTACGAATAGGATGGAGTAAAAGCCTTTTCCCATCTGGTTCTGTGGTACCAGTTCTAAGGCCCTGATATCTAATAAGTGGGCAATGGCTGTGGTGACTACTTGTGCTTTTGTCCTATCTCTTGAAACCGGGCACTGTATGAAACGATCTGGGAGAGAAGATTGAAACTCTAGAGAGAGACCTTGTCTTATGGTGTCTCTGACCCAGGAGTCGGTGATTGTGCCCTCCCAGATGTCGTAAAACAGTGCCAGGTGACCCCCTATGGGGTAGTCCTCCTTGGCGTCACTTGGACCTCCTGTAAGGACGACTGCCCGATCCCCTGAAGGGACGTTTGTCTGGGAACTGAGCCCTGGCTCCACTGTTCTGGCGGTCCTGTTGGCGATCCTGCCTGGGGGGATAGGATCATGAGCCTCTGGGCCAATCCCAGGACTGCCCTGCCCGAAAGGGCTGCCTCACTCCTAAGTTCCGCTGGGATGGAAGGACTGTCTGCGGTATTCCTGTTGGGGCCGCCTATGCAATTTTTTAGAGGGGTGCGCCATGACCTTACGCTTATCCTTGCCCTCAATGACATGTGGTTCCAGGACTGCACCGAATAAGTGCGTTCCACTATACTTGGAGGTTGACTGGCGCCACTTTGACTTTAAGTCAGTTCGCCACTGTTTCAACCATAGCATCCTACGAGAGGCAACTGTGGCAGCAATAGATCTGGCAGAGCATCTGGCCGAGTGAAGAGATGCATCTGCGATGTACTCTGAGGCAGCCACTAGCTTGCCCAGTGTCTGGTGTGCCCTAGCCTGGTCTGGCGGGATGAGCACCTGAAGATCCTGGAGCCACATTACTAAAGATCTTGCAAAGAAAGAGGATGAAGTTGCCACCTTGATTGCCCATGCCAAAGACTGGTGAGCTCTACAAAGGGAGAACTCGAACTTTTTGTCCTCCGCTTTCAGGAACTCAGCCATGTCCCCTGGAATAGCAGTGGTGGAGAACAGAGAGGTTAAAGGAGCATCCACGGCCGGCACCTCTAAGAGACAAGCAAAGGAAGAAGAGACATTATAGAATTTCTTCTCCATATTGCTTGGAGAAGGCGTGGTGGACAGGGATGACCACTGCTTCTCTACCATAGTCCGAAAAACTAGCGGACAGGGAATTTGTTTATCCTCTACGACCTTCTCCACAAATAATGGGTTGGACTCCTGGCCAGTGGAGGTGGATGGTTTGTCCTCCTGGGCTGAGGTCAGGTTGGTTGTGGTGCATGCCTTTACGACAGTGGTTCTCAACCTTTTTAATGCCGCGACCCCCAACCGGTCATAAGTCGAGGACTAAACCGGTCATAAGTCGAGGACTAAACTGGTCGTAAGTCGAGGACTTTCCCAGGCGTAGCTGGCAAGCGGCAGAAACAGAGCAGGCCGACCACCAGCTGGGCCACCAGCTGGCCCAGCCCAAGGGAGGTAAGGTACCCGCCGGAAAAGGGGAAAAAAATGGTGGACAGCCTTGCTTGGCGACCCCCGTGAAATGGTCGATCGACCCCAAATGGGGTCGCGACCCATAGGTTGAGAACCACTGCTTTAAGAGAAGAAATCTGAAAAGAGAAGGATCGAAAAGACCCTCAGGTGCTGCCTCGTCATCTTCTGACAGAGGCGTGTCAGCTATTACCACATCTAATGATCCCTCCTCGCCTAGTTGGGAAGAGGTCTCAGAGACACCGGACCCGGGTCTCGTGTCCTGTTCCACCTGGGGAGGAGGAATAGATGGGGGAGGTGGGGGGTGTGAAGGCCCCTGACTGCTCCTAGAGGAGGACATGAATTGCTTAAAGGCGTGGTGCATGAATGCCTGGAATTGGCTTTGGGACCACATCTCTGCTTGCTCCCTAGAACTGGTCCTAATCTCCATTGGGGCACGTCTGCTCTCAGTTCCCTGGTGGGAAGGGGAAGAAGAGGAGCGAAGAGGACCAACCTGCTCAGTTTCCCCCTGAGGAGATCATGCCCTCGGGGCATCCTGTGAAGAGGCAAAAAGTGGCTCAAACGTGGGAGCGTCCAGTGAGATGGAGGAAACCACTTCAGCCTCACTGGACCTGAGCCTTTGTGCCTTGGAGAATTCTTTTTCCAGTGCCAGATGTCTCCTCGTGGCCTCTCACTTGGCTGCTTTAGAAGTCTCCTTGACGGATAAATGTTTTGTTTTGGCTTTTCTCTCCCCCCCCACTTCCAAATCATCTGATCTGCATTTTGCCTGTGCAGGGGGGACACCAGAACCATGAGTCGCCTGGGGCAAGGAACTGCCTGCCATTGCGGTCTAGATAATCCTGATCAGGGATATCTAGAAATGGGGGGAACCCAAGCACGCAGATCAAGTAGTCAGAGATGGAAAACCGATCCTTGCTCTGAACAATGGCAATGGCAAGAACAGTCAGACAGCCTTCTAATACTGCCTGTCTAGGCCCTGTGGCTAAAGGCCACTGACTATTTGAAACAGGTAGTCAAAAGATTACCTCTTCACTCCACTTACACAGGTCTTGAGAATTTGAACCTGTTCCCCAATAAGCAGTTAACACATTAATGCACTTAAGGTGAGACAAAGCCTCATGAAATTTAGGATAACCCCTTAGAGATCAACCACACTTGATATGGATATATGGTATTTATTTACCCCCTGGTTCGGGCCTGACTCGCAGACCAAGGCACTAAGGCAAATCAAAAGTTGCTATGTAGCTCAATAGGTCCCAACAATATGGCATCCGTCTTGTGGGCCTCTCAAAATGGCGGCTGCGTTATGACCATGCGGTCAAAATGGCGGCCGCGCTCGCTTCTGAGCCTCAAGAAGCGAAGAACTAAGTTTTAGCAAAAGAAGGGCAGAGAAATACAAGAAACAAACTACAAATCCGGTAATTAAATGATTAAACAGGACGATCCCTGTTTCCTCCGTTTGCCAGAATCACTTGCAGTTTGTAGCGCAGCCTCCGCTGCAATCCGGGTGTGACTGCAGGAAAAAAACCTCGTGGCTTCGACGCTCGCAGTGAAAGGAAAAAAACACCGGCAGCTGCCCTGCAGAGACCCTCCGTTCTCCGCTGACCAGCTGATCGGTTGGATCACGGAAAGCTGTGATCAGTCGGGATGGGAGCCCCCACCCAATTGAGGCTTGCAGCCTCCAACGGAGCTGTAAAAGTTTAGAAGGACAGAGTCCTTGCCATGTCTTTTTCAGTTTAAGTCAAATCCAATTAAGGTAGAACAATTTAGAAAATTTAGTAGTTGAAATCCAATTAAATCTGAATAAATCTAGTCTAGCTGAGGAGCCTGGAATTTTGCGCCTTGCTGAGCTGAGACTAAGACAAAAACTGGGAAGGCACACCCAGAGGGAGGCATGGCTAAAGCTCTGTCTTAGTCTCGTCTGAGCAGGAAGGCTGAAATTACCATCAGTGGATTCCACATCCATCCTGCTGGAGAACGATTACATTTCAGGTACAAGCATCAACGGAACCCATGTTATAAAGAATGCTATCAATAAATAACACGCAAGTTATTTATTTCCAAAGAGGAACACATTTCAACAAATACTATTTTCATATTTTCACCCATGTTAGGAAAAATATATATTTTCAGGGCAATATGAAATTTCCATTCTCAAAGTCACACACATTAAGCTTGAAAATGGAAAAGACTCATTTCTTTGTGTCTTGCTCCTCCTACCATCAGCCAACCATCCAGCTTTTTTCTAGATGCTTCAGAAATGTGTGCTTGGTTAGATTTTTCTTGCTTCTCCAACTCTAATTGTACTTGTTGCTGAAGTACAACTGCCAAAACCCATTCAGCACAAACAAGAATGAATTGTATTTCAACAACAATTTGAGGTCACACTACGTTTCAGTGTTTTGCTGAGACAAAAAGTGCATCACATTTAAATATTCCATTTGAAACCTTGCTTTTGATCCTTGCAGTTTTTTCCCCCACCATCTTCCTTATTAACCATCTAACAGGAATTTTGGGGGATATTTTGCAGTAAATTTGAAGATTGCTACGTAAGGAATAATTGCAGTAAATTTGAAGGTCACTCATACGAGATGGTGCTGTATTTATGAGCTCCAATAAATGACTACAAAGATCAAGATATTTTCCTCACCTTCATAAATGCCAGAGCAGCATAAGAAATAGTGGGGAATTTCGTTTCTAGAGGCTCCTGATTAAAAAAGATAAAATAAATATTAGCAGAATCTTCTTCATAGTTATTGAGGATCCCCCCCCACCCCACTGTATTCCTATAACAACAATGAAAAACAAAACAAAACAAAAATGCATTTTTCTTTTAAGAGAATGTGTTCCCAGGACAGATGAGAGAATTAAAGAGATAAATTGGTTCTTCTGCTTTGCAGCTTTTTACCGTAAGTCTTGCAGTCTGCAGCTTTCTTTTCTGTTTCCAATTGCAATCCTTCCCCTCTCCTAGAAACCAATTTGGGTGTTGATCTCCAGACTGCACCTAGTTACATGTCTCTCTAGAGTCAATCCAAGAGAACCATTCTTTTTAGGCAACAATTGGTAACCAAGCAATGTCCTGGGTCCCTAAATAGCTAATCAGTAAAAGCAATACTTTCTGGTCCTTCAAAAACACTGCTTCTTGCACTGAAAAGAGGAGAAAACACTTGCAAACTAGCTCTGTTTTCTCAGGCAATTGTGTCTGGGCTGCCAGCTACCGTTTTTTCTCTCTCTCTGCTGGCATCTGTTGGTCATCCACATTTTTGCCACCCTAATAAGTCACTCCAGTGGTGATACTGTGCTACGCTTGTGTAAGACCACTGAGGAGGGCAACTCTCACCATGCTTTCTGGATCGGGTATCCTCACCCCACTGAAGAACTGGTTTGTGCTGAAGACTTGCTGATGCCTGGGAATGAGATCACCTTTGAACAAGAATCAAACAGTGGGGTCAGTTTAAACATTTGCATCACCAAGGCCTCATCCTGTGTGGGGTTTGCAATAGAAGCAGAAGATGGGATAGAAGAATGGCTTGACTCAGAAACATGGGTGCCTAGGTAACCAGCCAAACACTCGTCTATAGGACTGGCAAAAAAAGTCTTTTCTTCAATTTTGCTGATTTCCACCCTTCCCCCCCCCCCCGCGCCTCTTTCACTTTAAAATGGGCTGGATTTTGGCTTTTCTTTCCTTTAAAGGCATCAGATTGGTAAAAGTTACTTAAATGTAAACAACCCTTGACTTGGGGGGGGGGCAATAAGGATGCCTTAAATAGTCTCTCTTACCCCTCTCCCAAGTACCTTGCTGAAGAAAGTTGATGAACATATACAAAAACTAACTTCAATTAAAATAGTCCCATGGCTCAATGCAACACGTCATGCTCCTCTAGCGTGTTTACACAGGAAACAGTCAAATTTCACATGGATACCCGAGAGGTGATGGTGGGGGGATGAGGAGGACGGAAGAAACAATAGCCAACTCAGACGTATCTCTGTTCCTCAGTAACCTTCACTTACCTAATGTTCTCCTGATTAAGTAAAGTTGATCCACATCAGACTTTCCAGGCCAGAGAGGGATGCCAGAAAGCAGTTCAGCAAAGACACAGCCTATAGCCCAGACATCCACAGGAGGGCCATACTGAGTATCACCTACAAGGAGCTCAGGAGAACGATACCACCTGGTAGCCACATAATCTGTATAGTAGTCACAAGGCCCAGCTAAAAGGAGTTGAGGAAAGGATCGCAGAAACAGAAGTACCAATTAGTGGACTAAAAACACTCTCTCTAGATCTTCCTTTCAAGGGTAAAGGAAAGGAAAGAATATTTATAAATAATAAATGAATTACAAACAATATATGGTAAAGTTCATTCTCAGTTGCTCTAAAAGAAGCAAACCTGCTCTTGTTTACAAACTTTGGTACTCATTTTTAGAAAAAGTAAAAGTAACACCTCTTGTTTTGATCATCTTATTTTGTCTTTGCATGAATATTGCTATAATTCAGTTGGATTGCTTTGTGGTTCATGTACTTCCAAAAAACATGCACTTAGCTACAAAAATATAATTTATGTAAGTGACTTCTGTAGAACTAGGAACAAACATCTGTCCTGTCTCTAACATAGAGATCAAAGTTGCATTTGATTTTGTATATCTGTATGTTTTGATGTTTCTAAAGATTTCAATGTCATGTTTTCCAATCCTCTTACATTTTTACTCTTTCTAAAATGAGTATTAAAGTAGGATAAAGGATAAATACAAAGGTAATTACTTTCAATTAATTAACTGCTTAACAAAATTTAAAAAGCAACTTTGCTGTTTTCATCCTTTCATCCATTAAGAACATTAGTAACAGGATTAAACAGGGGGAAAAAATCATACATTCATGTATTTGTTGCAGGATCTCTGCCTTCTGCCCTAGTGAAAAAGGACTGAATTTCACATAATAAACTTACTTAAGATGCGAGCAAATCCAAAATCACAGAGCTTAATGACAAAATGCTTCGTTATGAGAATGTTCTCCGGTTTTACATCTCTGTGTATGCACTAGACACAGAAAGAGAGACATATTGACACACTCAAGGAGAAAACACAATGCTTCATTTTATTAATCTCAGGCATAGATACCTGGCAGTCTAGTCTTGAGATCTAACACTTGAGACAATATAGCTCTCTCACTTTTTTATGAAGTATGATTGCTAAGAAATAAACAAAAGCAATCCTGTTTCATTTGTGCAGAAAATAAAGAAATACTGCATCCAGTTTTAGTCACCATGATGTAAAAAAGATGTTGAGACTCTAGGACAGGCATGTCAAACTCGCAACGTCACATGCTGGCAATTGGGTGGGCACGTTTTTGGCGTGATACATCTGGCCCACGGGCTGGCAGTTTGACATGCCTGCTCTAGAAAGAGTACAGAGAAGAGCAACAAAGATGATTAGGGGACTGGAGGCTAAAACATATGAGGAACAGTTGCTGGTATTGGATATGTCTAGTTTAACAAAAAGGACAAGGGGGGACATGATAGCCGTGTTCCAATATCTCAGGGGTTGCCACAAAGAAGAGGGAGTCAGGCTATTCTCCAAAGCACCTGAAGGCAGGACAAGAAGCAATAGATGGAAGCTAACCAAAGAGAGAAGCAACCTAGAAGCACAGAGCAATTTCCTGACAGTTAGAACAATTAATCAGTGGAACAGCCTGTCTCCAGAAGCTGTGAATGCTCCAACACTGGAAGTTTTTAAGAAGAGACTAGACAGCCGTTTGTCTGAAATGGTATAGGGTTTCCTGCCTAAGCAGGGGGTTGGACTAGATTACCTCCAAGGTCCCTTCCAATTCTGTTGTTGTTATTGTCTTCCTTTGAAGTTTTGGTATTTGGTATTTGGTAAAGAGAGATGTGTCAAGAAACATATTTATACATGAATTGCTATGCATGTTCTCCATAATCTGGACATTCTAGATTCTGTTAGAATGTCTTTTCCCAACCTGCAACTATAAAATTCCTAATCGGCATGGCCAGAAGTTGGGAATTCTGGAACAACAATCCCTATTAAAGTTATCAACTTGTGGAAGATTTTTCTAGGGTAAGAGGCAGCAACATGCTAGTTATTACTTCCCCACCTGTTCAAAAATTTAAAATAACCAAAATACTAGGAATCACCAAATTTTACAATCTTCTGCATTAAAATAAATTTTTAAAAAAATTACCAACCTGAAAAAGTTGCCAACCTCTCTATTAAGTGATGAGAAATTTACCATGGAAGCAGGACACTTTTGGCAAAATGTCAAAAATGGAGACAAATCAGCCATCCCCAATGAAAACATTTCTCTAAAAATGATTTAAATGTGGAAAACAGTTTTATATGTAGCTGATCCACTCTTGAGATAATTATAGCAATTATACATAGGTGAAGATTTAGACCTTTTTCTTCAACATGGAGGTACATGGAAATACAACATACAATGTGGAAATACAAATATTTCTCTGATTTGGTAAGCTCAAAGTCTGCAGACCTGCAAAAACAAACTGGTACAGTGAGTGCAATGTTGGAATGGGATGACTTACATTGTGTTTGTGACAAAAATTCACTGCTTGGAGAGTTTGCCAAGTTATGCTTTTCACAAGATGTTCTGGGACCCTGGAGGGAAAGAAATGGAAAAGACAGCAAAAATAGGGTGTATAGAATTCAATATCTTTCCTAGATGATTCCCACATCCACATAACACATAAATTGGGGACAAACTATTTAGAATATTCAATGTGGGTTTTTAAAATGGATTTATGGGTTAAAATAAGAACAAGCAAGAAGCGAGCTGGAGTGCAAATAAGAAATGAAGGAAAACAATTCTCAGATGCAGCTACTTAAATACTTTTATTCTGCTTTAAGTATTTAAAAATATTTCACAAATATTTTACACTAAAATTCATAAAGCAGTAAAATATTTATATATATGAAGATAAGATTCAGGGCTAGATAAAAAGTGACTCAGCAAATGTATCCCAATGCTCAAAGGAATGGACAAGACATAAAATTTTTGGTATTTCAGATATACTACCTTTTATTCCAAAAGTAACATATAGCTTATTCCTCTATGAATTTGCTCAGTGTCTTTTCAAAACCATAACTATCAATTATATAATTTTTGTATGCAATCAATTTTAAAACCATACCCTGTTATATACAGTAAAGTACTTCCTTTTTAATATTCTGACACTCCCTGCATTTATATTTATTATCTATTTATTTATATCCTCCCTTCAAGGCGGCAAATATATTCAACACACTTTCTTCTCCTATTTTCCCCACAAAACAACCCTGTGAGGTGAGTTGGGTTGAGAGACAGTGATTGGCTCAAGGTCACCCTGTTGCCTTTCATGGCTGAGGTGGGACTGGAACTCATAGTCTCCTACTTCTAGTCTGAAGCCTTAACCACTAGATCAAACTGGTTCTCATTTAGAATCAATGGTTGACCCCTAGTTCTTACTATCAAAGCAGAAAAAAATATTAAGTTCCCATTTCCTATGTCATGCCTGATTTATACTTTTGTTATGTTGTCTTACCTACTTTCTGAGCCAAACACTTGTGGAAAGAAAGGAATCACCCTAATCCTCTAATTGTTTGATTGCCCTTTCTATTCTAGTGTAGACTCTACAAGAATCTTATAGACCTACAGCAAATGGTAAACATTTGTTTGTGTGATTGATTTTTATAGCTGCCCATCTCTGCACATGACTCTGGGATGCTTACAATTATCTAAAAGAACAGCATTAATATGCCATTCTAGCATGAAGTAAAATTAAAACTAAACAGTTATTGATTGGTATTTAAGAAACTGAATATCTACAAGATATTGCATTGTAACAAAAAGCCCAGTTCTGCCCAGAGGCTATGCTCAGATTGAGTAACTGTAGCTGTTATGAGCCATTGGATCTCAGAATTTTTCACATTTTGCTTTGGATGGGGTGGCACTTCCCCATTTGAGACCAGTGTACAGCTTAAGGGTTCTCACTGGTTCACAACTACTGCTTAAAAATCAGATGGCAGCTGTGGCTAGGAGGGCCTTTGCACAGGTTCATCTTGTGAACCCATTGTGCCCATTCCTGAAACAGGAGAACTTTCAGATGGTCACTCATGTCCTAGTCATCTCATGACTGGACAATTGCAATGGGCTGCCCTTGAAGGCCATCTGGAAGCTACAGTTGGTCCCAAAGAAGCAGCAAGGGCAGTTATGGGTAAACCTCAATACACCCATGAGCCATTACTGCTTTGTAAGTTTACTGGCTGCCAGTTGGCTTCTGGGTCCACACTTGTCAGTTACAAAATCCTTCATAGTATACGTCCTGGTTATCTGTCTCCCATGGTTTTCACCCAATCAGTAAAATTGGGCAAAGTGATGGTGCTCTGGGTCCCCACCATTAAACAGTGCCATTTAGTGGCTTCCTGGAAGCTTGCTTTTAGGAACAACAGCCCACCAGAGAGTCACATGGCTCCACTTTGCAAGGGATCTGCAATTTTTTAAAATTTTCTCTCGGGCCTGGAGTTAGGCTGTCTGTGAGTCCTAGTAGGTTTTATGCAGTATTTTAGGTTCTGAGTGATTTTTATCTGAGTATGTTTTTTAATCTCACTTTTTAAAGTGTTTTTCTCTTCTCTTTTAATTATGTAAACTAACCAAAATAATTTTGTAATACGGTGGCCTTCTAAATCAAATTAATACCTTTGTTGCCATTTCAAAGCCACTGCAACAGAGCCAGAAATATAGTAAAGCAACTTTCCAACATAGTTGATGTCATAATATCAAGTTTATTTATTTTTGTCATATGTATGTAGTGTATATTGGAGGTGGTGACCCTTTGAGAGCAATGAAATTTCATTTTAATGTATGCCGATTAGTATACATTCAAAGTGACAATAAAGTTATTATTCTAATCTATTCTAAGTGATCTTGAGTTGCTTTCAAATTGGCACAGAGTCTCATCTAGAAGTGCCCTAATGCTGTCCCTTTTATGATTCTTGAAAAGAACTGACCGGCCTCTTCAAGAGCTGTTACAAAGGCAAAAAGCTGCCAGCAACATTTTCCAGACCAATCAATTTCCATGGTAGGAAAAATGACAATCTTTCCAAGGTCTGATCATACATTTAAACCAACACTTTAGTATCTGTGTCTATTGTGCTAGGTTTAACACAAATATCAAAAATCAGGCTTTTAAAATAATTTGGCAAGGGTTGGCTTTCTCAAAAAGTGCATGATTTGCAAAAGCCTTTGAGGCAGAAGAAATCTTTTCAACAATTATCAATTTAAAGATGTGAAGAGGAGTTATTTCCTTTCTTTAGAATACATGCTCCCATCTCAGCCACATTATCTCCTTTGCAAGAGCCCACAGCAAGCTCTCAAACCATTCTTTTACAAGAATGCCTTAATCCATGACAACCACATAGTGGCCTTTTTTCCCCCTTTAAGATTGATGGTTGCAGATATGTTACATCTAGAAAGAAAAGTCTGCAGAAGGTATGGACATTATCTGCTCTCTTTCTATGAATTTTACGAGTGGGCAACTTACCCACGTGGATTCTTGTCAAGTTCATGAAGGACTGTATGGTCACAATACTCAAAGACCAGGTGAAGTTTTCGTTTCCTCCGGAAGACCTCCAGAAGATTGACCAAATTGGGATGCTTCAGTTGCTAAAAAAAAGCATAACACAACATTTGTGAAGCAGGTTCAGGTAACGAAAATAAAGTGGTTTTATCAATATTCTAAAATATGGTCTAATTCTAAAACATAGTCACCCTATTAAGCAAAAAGGTCAAGAATCATTGCTCAGAATTTCATGTTTCTATTTCAGCTTCCAGATGGCTCTTTGCTCACTGTGCCTCAAATTATCTAAAAAAAAAAAAAACCCAAAACATTCTCTTCAGTTAAACATTGTTATTAATTTTATTTATTTATTTATTTATTTATTTGTTGAAGACTAATCTCCTCCCATAATCTTTTAGCATAACCATTTGGTTCTGCTTTTCAATCAAAACAAAAATAAAATAATTGCCATTAATATTAAGCTGCAATTTTCTTGCCTTTTGTCTCTCCCATATTATTCTCATTCTCCCTTTCCATCGTCCCTAAACTTCACAAAGCATGAACCTTCCTCTTAAAGTATCATAAAAAACTGATGGTTGATCATAAATATAATCCTAAATTTTGATTGAATGCTTACATACAATATAATCTGAATGATAAGATGAATCCCATGTTGTCTTTGTTTGAGCCTGAAAGAGCTAACTCCTACTCATGTTTGTTTTTAAGTGAATTTTGAAGGAACTGGCTCTTCCCCCAAGCCCTGGATTAGGGAACATGGTGGGATCCTTTGGGATCAAGATTGAGGGCTACAAATTTCCTGTTTTTCTCTTCTTAAACATTTATCATTCTTTTTGCTGGTTATGATTATTTTCAGTTGCTTTTAATATTGTATACCACATTATGAAGTTGGGAAGCTTTAGAGATTTGGCAAATATGTTTGATGGATGCAGTATGTGGTCATAGGCTGCCTACATTTGCTTCAGTGGTCGTACTAACTCAAGACAGAGTGATTTAACAACAACACAGCAAAACAGTAACAAATAGTGGTTTCAGATTTTTAAAATACCAAGATATCACCATGGGGATCTCCTGGTCTCAGTGTTCATAAGAGTTTATAAAAAGTTGTGCTGGATTGGATGAAAGGTCTATACAGGCAGCACCATGTTTCCCATGGAAGGAAACTCACAAACAGGACATGTCTCCCAGCAACTAGGATCCAGATGCATTCTGCCTCTGACACCAAAGTTGATATATAATCACTAGTAGCCTTTTTCCCCCATCAATAGCCTTATATTCACATATTTCAAACCCAACACTTGCACCCTAAAGGCAGACAAGGTAAATGGCGCTCTCATTTAATCTCTTAAATCTGAATGATATGAATGACTAATGTGTTGTTGAAGCCTTTGTTCTTTCTGTGTTTATACAACACAGAAAAATGATGGATTAAGAATCCTGTCTCCCCACACCCGCTGGATTAGATCTCAACCCACACTATTCTCCAATTAGCAAACAAACAATCTGTTACTATTGACTGAGAAAGTGTTTTTCAGAACTGGCGGCAGAGCAGGCCTGCACTTGTTCAATCAACACAATTCAGCACACAGATCTATTGGCAATGAATGGTGCAAATTGCTGAGATACTCTGCTTCCCCTTCTCTTTCTTGGTTCCTGCAAGGGCCATTTATCACCTGTTTTCCTGACATAAGCTGCTGCCCCCACTATTGAATTTCTTCCTGGGCTTTAGAAATCCCTATTAATCTTTCCACAATAGTTTATCAGACTTCTGGATCTCTTCAGATAACTAGGGTAGATTTGAATGCTATTATGGAGTTAAAGCATGCACACGGAGAAGTAAGCAACTTGATATCCTCATTGACTTTGAATTACAATATCCACTCGTGCTAACAACATACTCAAAGTTTAGGAATTGAGGAATTGTAAGGTAAAATGTCTACAGGACCTTTGGTTATCTCCCCTGGGCCTAAAGCAGGGGTGTCAAACTCAATTTCATTGAGGGCCGCATCAGCATTGCGGCTGCCCTTGGGGGGCAGAGTGGGTGTGGCTAGAGTGGGTATAGCCTACTGGGTGGGCGTGGATGGAGTAGGTGTGGCCTATTGGGTGGGTGTGGCCAGCTCTACATCATTCGCATCAAGAGTGCCTGTGGGGGCCTGGGCAGGATTGGGACAGATCTGAGGGTCTCTGGCAGAAGGGGGTGGGACCGGGGCAAGTGCCAAGGCATGGTCCACCAGGGCAAGTGCCAAGATGGCCACCACAAAATTGTACATTGGCTCCCAGCTGGCCTGGGCCAGAGCCAAGGCAGCAGGGATCGTTCCCTCACTGTATCCAGGATGGCTTTGCGGGTCACATGAAACACTTCGCAGGCCATATCCAGCCCCTGGGCCTTGTGTTTGACATGTCTGACCTAAAGGCTTAAGGCAATATGATCTGATTGGAGAGTTAGAACTGGTTGTTATTCCTCAGAATTGACCAGAAGACATTTTCTTCACACAAGGCTCATTTTATTTCAAGACTGATTACTAATAAAATGGATGGATGGATATTTTTAAAAAGATGAAATATACCTACGGGGGAGGGGGAGAGGAGGGGGACAATCAACAGATCAAGTATTGACATTCAGACCACCCAATTCTATTTTTACATGAGCAGACAGAGTTCCTTCACACACTGTGAGCAGGGTTTGTTTGTCCCTTGCTTTTCCCAGTATGAAAAGCAAGAAGTGAGTCAGGAAAGATGAAAACTAAGGAAACCAAGACGAAAAGTGCCAGTAAAGGACATTTGAGGGCAAGCTTCAAGACATTTCCAAACTACCTCTGTTTAAAGCAGGCTTCCAAACATCTGACTTTCTGCTCATTTCAAAACAGATTACCATTATTTACTTATGCATTTATTAAATTTACATTTTGCCTCTCCTGTTCAATATCACTGAGTATATAATACATCTTCCTCCAATTTTATTTTCACAGCAACTATGTCCTTATCCAAAATCATTCAGTGCACTTTCCTGGCTTAGGGTGGATAAACTGGATTTCCAAATTTATTTGTTATTTAATTATATATGGCTTCCAACTCAACACACAATACTGGATAGCTAATAAACAGTAGAATAACCAATAATAATATTTTTTTTTTTAAATGAAAGGAATTGAAATACCCCAATACCCCTGAATTCAACACATATATTAACAGAACACCAGAATGAATTCATTCTATATCCTGGCCTAAGATCCAGGGTTGCAACCATGTTTTCAGCACTTAATGAAATGCTGATAAGGTTAAGTCTATTTGAATCCCCTCATTGTTAATCCAACAGTACTTTCTCCAACTGACCCAACACCCAGCTGTAACCTCCTGTTACTTTTCCATATTGCTGGGTGCATTATGCAGGGGATAAGCTTTTGACTGATAAACACTGTTTTCTATTGGTCTTGTTCCACCCATAAGACAAATGGCCAGGTGTGGAATAAAAGCCAGGACATCATGGTTCTTTTAAGGGACTTATCTTGGAAAACAGCTAGTTTTCCACTCCAACTTTAAACTTGTAAACAATTTGATATGGTTTATGAACTGTAAACCAATTTAATATTGACTGCAAAATTACTGAACCATGTCTCATCTAAATTTATTCAACTATTTTTAATGATTACTTTGGCTTTTAAGAAAAAAAAATAGAAGATACTGCCCTTTATTTTCAGGAAGGCTTCCATGCACCACATATAGCCAAAAATAAATGAAAATAATAGCAGACTACCACCAAGTGCTGTTTTTGGAAGTACTATTTATCTATCACGAAAAGAAAGGCAAAAATACATTGAGACGGACCTGGTAATCAGATGTACAGAACCAATATAGATGCTATCTGGCTCGGTGGCTGTACTTGTGAAAAGGATCTGGGTGTCATGATAGACCACAGATTAAGCATGAGTCAGCTGTGTACTGCAGTTGTTAAAAGAGCCAATGCAATCTTGGGCTGCATCAACACAGATACATAAGGTTGAGATCTAGGGAAGTAATTATTGCACTCAATGTTCCATAAGTGGGATATAGAACCTGGAATACTGTATTCCGTTTTGATCACTGCACTTCAAAGGGATATAGTGGATCTAGAAGAGGGCATCCAAGATAATCAAAGGGCTGGAGCAGCTTTTCTACAAGGATAGATTACAACATTTAGGGTGTGCTTTAATCTAGAAAAAGAGGCAAATGAGGGGAAGCCATTGAGGTGTACAAAATTATGGTTAATAGAATTGGAAATGTTTAGCCTAAGGAGGAGAAGGCTGGGTGGGGGATGGGCATAGTAGTATATTGCAGGGGAAGAGGGTATGGATTTACTCTCTATAATGCCTGTGGGTAGACAAGGACTATGGAAGACAAGCTTATTATCCAAACTCAACATTAAGAGGAATTTCCTGACTATGAGAGTTATGAAGCAGTAGAAGAACCAGACTCCTGAACTTGTAGGTGCTCCAACACTGGAGGTTTCAAGCAATGTTCAACCGGCTATTTGTCTGGGATGGTCTGAAGACTTTTGCTTTGGGTCTTAAATATGAGCCAGCAGTGTGCGGCAGCTGCCAAAAAGGCCAACACAGTGCTAGGCTGCATTAACAGAGGGATAGAATCAAGATCACGTGAAGTATTAATACCACTCTTCAATGCCTTGGTAAGGCCACACTTGGAATACTGCATCCAGTTTTGGTCACCACGATGTAAAAAAGATGTTGAGACTCTAGAAAGAGTACAGAGAAGAGCAACAAAGATGATTAGGGGACTGGAGGCTAAAACATATAAGGAACGGTTGCTAGAATTGGGTATGTCTAGTTTAACGAAGAGAAGGACAAGGGGGGACATGATAGCAGTATTCCAATATCTCAGGGGCTGCCATAAAGAAGAGGGAATTAAGCTATTTTCCAAAGCACCTGAAGGCAGGACAAGAAGCAACAGGTGGAAACTAATCAAGGAGAGAAGCAACCTAGAACTAAGGAGAAACTTCCTGACAGTGAGAACAATTAATCAGTGGAACAGCTTGCCTCCAGAAGCAGTAAATGCTCCAACACTGGAAGTTTTTAAGAAGAGACTGGACAGCCATTTGTCCAAAATGGTGTAGGGTTTCCTGCCCGAGCAGGGGGTTGGACTAGATGACCTCCAAGGTCCCTTCCAACTTTACTACTATTACTATTACCTCCATGTTCCCTTCCAATCCAATTATTCAATAATCCTGAAAGGTCAAAGGTGCAAAGGTAGTGCAATATTACAGTTACTTTCTCCTAAATCAGTATTTTGTGACTGGTCTTTCCTACAACAACAAAGCCTGAAATTCATTCTCAAAATTCTAAATATATGATTACTTCTAGAGCACCCTTTCTCAAGCCAGAGCCCTGTAGTTGTGGCAGACTACAACTCCCACCATCTTCAACCAATGTAATAATTATATTCTAATATAATATACATATATCAAATGACTGGCAAAGCTGATGTAAAATAATTTACATTGTGTAAAGTAATGCATGGATGATTCTTTTCAGATAGGAAGGATGATTCACGCCCATTAATTCCTAGAAACTCTAACTTATTTTGTGCAAATGCTAACTAGAAAAGAAGATGCTTCATAAGTTCCTATGAGAATATCAGTTTTCTTTTAAAATTTTCTGCCCCTTCCTTGTTCCAGGAAAATGGCTGGCGAGATAGCACAATGCAGAGAAGCCAGAGATAACAAGCAAAGATAACAACAAGCAATCTATAAGCTGTATCTATTTTCCAAGCTCTTTTTTGCACCCCTAAACTACCTCACCAAAAGTCAGAGATAAATTGCTGGAGAACAGAAGAGAGATTGCCCATATAACATATAACCAGCAGAAAAAATCCAATAAAACTAAGATCTCAATCAATTGTCCACAATTATTTACATCAATTACAAAATGAAGTATTTTTTTCCTCTTACAGAATTGGGGTTATCTTGATATGCTATTTTGCTTCACTTGGAGTGGAATATATATAGGCCCAGTATCAGGAGGACATTATGTAAGAAGCTTTTCTGAAAAATTCTCTGGCTCTCATAACATCAGAAAATCTTTCAAGAGAGACAAATGGACAAGTGTTAACAAACATATCTAAAGCCAAAAACTCTCTTCCTAAGATAACTCTTAGGTTGTGAACCTCTCGGAGACAGATACGATAAAAAAAAATATTGTAAACTGAACTGAGCCTATGGGAGAATATATGAGGTAAAGAATTTATATGAAATTATTTTTTTAGACGGCCCCAATCTTAAATACTACAAGAAGCTTAAAAGAAAGGAGTAAAACAGCTTTCTACTATACTAATTACAATTAATAATGTTTACATTAGAGATTTATTAATCTTCTCATAGATTAAAAGTCCTCAAACAGTACAGAACAAAACAATGAAAATCACTATTCTTAAAATATGTTCATTCTAAATCTATAATCCATGTTTGATATTTAAATTGAGGAAATAAATAATCTTATTTATAGCCACTCTTTCCACTGTTTCTCTTAGCTTTTTATCAGGGCTATTTATCATCAAATGCATAGTGCATGTACTTTATCTGTAGTTAATGATCTATGAAATATATTTTAAAGATAAGTTTCCAAAAGCTGGATGACTCGTAGGCAGGTATCCAACAATGCATTTGTGATGTAAAAGGCATGGTGATGTTCAGATAAAATGGGCCATTGGATTAGTTACAAGGGGGGAAAAAACAATACTGTAAACGTATAGAAAAGAATGTACACAGACAGTTTAATCAAATAAAATTTCTGATAAGCAGATTCCAATTCATTACCTTTAACATCCGAATCTCTCGAAGTGCAATTTTTTTAATAACAGGATCGTCCTCAGATTCCAGGAACTTTTTGATAGCAACAATTTGCCCCGTGTCTTTATTCCGGCATTTGAAAACAACTCCATAGGAGCCTTCCCCAATCTTACTGATTTTTTCATATTTCTCCATTGCTAACAGAAAAGAATCTCTCAAGATGTTATCCACTGTCAGCAAGACTTGGTGAGTAAAATGGTCTCTTGAAGATCGGAATGATTCAAAAGTTGCAAAAGACCACAATCACCTTAAACCTGTAAGACAAATGTAAAAATATGTTTGCTGCCACACTTAGCATCTATAGAATCCATGGAACATAACCACATCATACTGATTTTTTAATGGACCAGCAATCCAAGCCTATATTTACTATGCTTAAAAGAATGCACTAGTCTCTAGTACTCCTCACTCCTGATAATCCAGCAGGTGGTGAGGAGAGATTGGAGTTTTTTCTTTTAAACAAAATAAGACCTCTTTTTAAGTGGCTTCATCATTGTTGCTTGAAATACATTACTATTTACCCTACAGCACTGGGCAAGCTCCCAAAACCTCTTGCTAGAAAAAGTTAAATGGAACTTAATGAAGGAGGAAGTTTTTCTCCACCAGTTCCACTGAAATGAACTGGAATGATTGAAATTACAGTGTGGTTTATTGTGGAAAAGTTTCTATTTAACATGGCAGTGCCCACATTTCATTGGACTTCTAAAACCAGCAAACATATTATGAATTAATGTGATGTATAAACTAACTCTTCACCTTTATTTTTTTCACTCAGCTAATTAGTCATTACCTTGATAGGACCTATTCAATCTTGGATGACCTTGAAAAAATGAAGCAGAGTCAGGTCTGAGTAGAAGGCCTGCAGAAAAGCCTAGGGAAGCAACCTGCACTGGGAAACTGAGGAAACCGCCCAGGAGGAGTCAGTGGCAAACTACTTCTGTAGATGGACATATTAATGTAGACCCTCATGAGTCAAGCATGCTTTGAAGAAGCCTTTACTTTTCTGTTAATTAGATTTATCTCCACAGTAGTTGCTTTGAAGAAGCCTTTACTTTTCTGTTAATTAGATTTATCTCCACAGTAGTTGCACTCTCACACAGCACGTCATAAATTTGGGACCAGGATACCTTTTCCCATATGTAGGTGCCCATCAGCTACAAAAGATCTATAAAAGATGTCTTCTTGAAGTTGCTCAATTCGTAATAAAATGACCTGAACTAAGGCATTTCCAGTACAAAAACCTCCATTGCAGAATCTGTTCCTGTTTAGTTAACAACTGAAACTGAACTTTTTTTTTAAAGATACACATTTTCAGACTTTCAGTTAAATTGGAACCGCAGTATTTTTTGTTCCATATTTAATAGCGATTAAAAGTTATTTACAATTATTTTTAAGAGGATGATGATGACTTTAAACTTAATTGTTTGCAATGACTTATAACCCATTTTGAGATTCTTTTTAATAATGAAAATGATGGAATAGAAATATAAGGATAAATGTCAGGATAAAGCTTCCTAGCTCCACCACAAAACATATCAAACAGTCCTAAACTTACTACTTTACATTTAGTGACTGTTTGAAGTTACAGTGGTGCTGAAAAAAGTGATTTTCAACAAGACCTTGCATTTACAGCATCCCCATGCTTAGTGTTCTAAATTTGGGTGCTTGACAACTAGTATGTATTTATGTTGGTTGCAGTGTCCTGGGGTCACATGTTCACTATTTGTGACTTCCCTATTTGGCTTCCAACAAGCAAAATCAATAGGGAAGCCAGATTCACTTAACAACCATGTATTCACTGAACAATTGTGGTGATTCAGTTAATGACTACAGCAACGAGATTATAAAATTGAGCCTGACTCCCTTAAAAGCTGCCTTGCTTAGCCACAGAATTTTCAGTTATGGTCAGGCGCAGCCTTGGGAAAGTCATGACTGTCTTTAACACCATATATTTCTGTTTGTAATTCCTTCAACCCTTGGCTCTATTTGTTCTTTCACACTGTCTGGAACTCCAACTTCTGCTCAGCCACTTTATTTTCCCTTCATCACATTTCATCTGAGAAGCCAGGATTTTACAGAGATTTTTTTAATCTATTGCTTAAACTTTCGGATTCTTGTCAGAACAACTACATAAGGCTATCTGATGTTATTTATGCATACTCCCCATCCTACTTTCTCCTTCCCCACGTTATCTTTACCTCCATTCCTCTTTTTAAATCTGATCATCTCTACATTTAGTTGAATTTAGACTTTAAGCCAAAAGAACCTTAAAGTTCTTTTCAAGTTCTGTTATTCTATAATGCTTCTGGGTCTCCAATGTGATGCCTGAGGGCTCTCAGGTGCCCCTGGATGCCTGCTAGGCTCCCTGCCCTACCAAACAATTTTTATTATAACGTCTTTTAACTGAAGCAGAGATGTGAGCATGCTGCAAAGCAAAGCACAAGTCTAGTGTTATCTTCCTTTACCAATACATCTTTGGGCCCCACATAGGCATTCTTAGAAAATGAAAATGGTTAGGGGTTGCAGGCTAGTATTTTGAGTAGTGCATGCCTATTCCCCCCCCCCCCAACCCCAGGACAAAGATATACTGAAGTAGGATCATTCTGAAGGATCAGAAAGGGTGATAGGATCAGCTTCCTCAGAGGCAAATGGATGCTTTGTGATAATGGTGACACTACTACAGCATTGTAAGCATGCAACTCTCCTAACAAGTTGTATGAATGCCCTATACTGAAAGGGCCCTTGTCTAAAAAAAGGAGAGGACTTTTGCTGTGAAATCTGCACAGTGGTAGCATTATTCTGTGAATTTAGAAACACTTGAGAAAAAAAGAGGGTGAGGATTGTAAGGCATCAAAGTGATGGATACTAGCGCCTCTAGTGCAATCTGAAACCGATTGCTGGAAGGCTCCAGTGGCCTCTGCGTCTTCAGACCACTTTCCCCATGCAAAAAGGCCCATCTGTAAATTAAATTTTAATTCAGCACCTTTAGGCAAAGGCAGGTTGCCAGGAAGGTGCAGCCAGCTAGGCAAGCCCATCAATAGCAAAATACACACCTGCCTCTCTGCTTCTCTGCGGAAGGAAGGAAGGAAGGAAGGAAGGAAGGAAGGAAGGAAGGAAGGAAGGAAGGAAGGAAGGAAGGAAGGAAGGAAAGGGACAAGGCCCAGCTTTTGCTTCCCCCTTCCTGCCTGCAAAAGAAACTCCCTGAGAATAATTGTGCCAGTGAGTGTATGAGAAGGGCACAGTGGGGATGGTCCCAGAGAGGGTCCTAAAGAGCACTTGGGGATGTCCCCTCTACCCTCACCAATCCAACAGCCTCTAGTAGTGTTTTCCTCAGGCCTACAAGCAGCCCATTTGGGATAAGGAGAGATGTGAGTTCCAGCACACCCAGGAAGCACTGACAGGCATTGGGGAGGGGGGGGGGCAGGGGCAGAGGCGAATGTTGCTGTCTCAGAGGCAATTAAGACGTTTTTCTTTTCGTAGCAGGAAGCCCACTTGAGGGACTAAATACGTCCTCTCTCTCTTGCAATTGGCTAACCCCTAAGCTGGCCTCTGCACATCCTCAGAGGTGCTGTCCCTGCCATTAGCCCTGCAAGCCTGTAGGGACTAATCTAATTCTCCACAGAAAAGCGCGCGTTCTTCTCAACTCGCAGCCGAGAAGGAGCTGCTCAGAGACCCTTGCCCTGCGCCGGGAGCGACAGGACTCCCACCAGCAGTTCTCACCCTCCGTGCGAGACTTCGCTTTCATTCCGCTCGGCGATGGTTCCCGGCAGCTGCTGCCCCGCTTCTCGCCTGCTGCGCGGGCGTGCAAATGGGGCCGCAGACGCGACTCCTTCGCGCGCCACTCCGGCCCGTCAGCCGCAGACGCCGAACTGCCTGCCAGTCAGGGCGGCCCGCGGGCAAGAGGGGGGAGAAGGCGGCGCGGGGAGGCGACGGCTCTCGCCACTGCCCGCCTCCTGGAGGTGGACCGTGGGTAGGAAGAGGCCGAAGGCCGCCGTTTTCCGCGACCGAAGGTGACAGTCCAGCCACCTGAACAGCAAGCTGGACGTTTTGTCGTGGCTCTTGTCTGTCAGGAGGGAGGATAATGCAGGTGCTCCACGGAGCAAGGAGGAAGGCATTGCTTCGTGGAGGCGCTTAGCGGTTCACGCAGGAACAGGAGAGCTCAAAAACAGTAAAATAGATTTGCTCCGTTTTGAAGCCTGTAATGTCTGATACATTTTGCTGCGTGGTGACGCATTTTCCCCCTTTTCTTGTAAAAGGTGCTGAACTTTTTCTCTTTGTTATCCAGAGAAGGCCAAAATACTGTGTGGCAAAAAAAAAAAAAATGCATTTCTTTGCGTTCCTTCCATTATAAACTCCTTTGTCTCAAACTTAAAGGACACTCCACTGACCAAATCTGATCGCTGGTATAAAAGTAACTGGAGAAGCGTGCGTTCACAAGCCTCCCGTGATTAATGTGTTTTCTGTGTCCCACTTTCTGCACTCATCCATCAACTAACCATAGGGAAGAAATGACACAACATGGTTAACTAAACCAGGGTCACTTAGTCTATGGTTTCAAGGGTTGTGCAAACCTAGTAGAAAGCATAGTGAGGACTTCGGAATGATAACTTCAAACCTATTAATAAAGAGCTTTGCTATAGAAGACATGAGACAGTAGTAAATTGGCTTTTAAAACACACTTACCAAGAAACAAGCCAATCATGGCTTAACATAGCCTCCAGTGTGTATCCAGCCCATCTAGTTTATCAGCCAATGCCACGTGAACCCAGATAATTAGGTTGAGTAAACTATAAAACTGCTAACTGTTGCTTGCATTATGTTAAATAATGGCATACGTGAATGTCTGAATTCTTCCTAACATGTCTGGAACTTCCAGCAAATTTCATAAGTGAACAGGACTTTGAACATCAGTGGCTGGGTTTGCCCATTTTAATCTTGCTTAAAACAGGAATAGGTAATTTGTGGCTCAGCATCTTAGTGAATCACCAGGCTATTATAGTTAGTTATAATGGAATGTGTTTTATTGGGGCATATCTGTTTCTTAACACAGGTTTCATTTTTTAAAATTTTTATATAGGCTTTATTGTTTTATAAATAATTCAAGGTGCAAATATACCTAATATTCCTTTCTCTTATTTCCCCCCACAACCATCACCCGGAGAGGTGGATTGGGCTAAGAAAGTGACTGACTTCTGTGAATCCAGTAGATGTTAGCAATCCAATAGCATTCCAAATTCTTTATCGGATGCTTGACCATTCTATAGGTACTACTTTGACCTTTTAAAGCCCTCATCTTGCAGCCTAGAATCTTGTTTCAAGTATATCTCCAAAGCCAAATTTTAATATTCCAATTTTGAGGTTGCCCAATTTCACAATGACTGGGCAGCTGAGATAAATCAGAAACTAACTTATGAAAATGTTACTGTATCCATGAAAAGCCATGATGAAATCACATTATAACATTCTTGTGCAAGTGATGTAATCTGTGTTACTTGTGTGGTGATGTCATGTCCCCTCTAGCCCTTTTATGCCCATGAAAGCAATTTATTTTTGCATGCAATTATTTGGAGCAATGCAGATATTTCTGGGAAATTAGCTGAACTGCAGGTCAATACGGTAACCATTGATACATCTAATCTTGCAATCAGTCTTGGTAAAGACAGAAGCCCCAATTTCAATTCTGTTATTTGAGAACCTTTCAAATATTAATTGAAACTAGACCAGGGGTGTCAAACTGCCGGCCCGTGGGCCGGTTGCCTCATACGGAGGACGTGCCCCCCCCAGTTCCGGCAATGCAAAAAAAGTTACGATACGTTGTGACACGTCACATGACGTGATGAGTTTGACACCCATAAACTAGATCCTTTTACTTTCGCTCCCTTCACAAGATGTTAATCTTGGAGATACATCTATGTTCATCTGGATGCTGATTGCTGGTGGCGAGGTGTTTAGTCTTTTTGTTCCCTTTTTGGCTTGTTGATTGTCTCTAAATAATAATAATAATAATAATAATAAAGTTGCAAGGGATCTTGGAGGTCATCTAGTCCAACCCTCTGCTCAGGCAGGAAACTCTCTACCATTTCAGACAAATGGCTGTCCAGTCTCTTTTTAAAAACTTCCAGGGTTGGAGCATTCACAGCTTCTGGAGCCAGGTTGTTCCACTGATTGTTCTGTCAGGAAATTTCTCCTTAGTTCTAGGTTGCTTCTCTCCTTGATTAGTTTCCAAGTTGCTTCTTGTCCTGCTTTCAGGTGCTTCGAAGATTAGCTTGACTCCCTTTTCTTTGTGGCAACCCCTAAGAAATTGGAACACTGCTATCATGTTCCCCCTGGTCCTTCTCTTCATTAAACTAGACATACCCAATTCCAGCAACCGTTCCTTGTTTTAGCCTCCAGTCCCCTGATCATTTTTGTTGTTCTTCTCTGTACTCTTTCTAGAGTATCAACATCTTTTTTACATCGTGGTGACCAAAACTGGATGCAGTATTTCAAATGTGGCCTTACCAGGCATTGTAAAGTGGTATTAACACTTCACGTGATCTTGATTCTATCCCTCTGTTAATGCAACCTAGTGCTGTGTTGGCCTTTTTGGCAGCTGCAGCACACTACTGGCTCATATTTAAGTGATTGTCCACTAGGACTCCAAGATCCCTCTCACAGTTGCTACTATTGAGCAAGGTACCACCTATACTATACCTCTGCATTTGATTTTTCTTGCCTAAATGTAGAACCTTACTTTTTTCACCATTGAATTTCATTTTGTTAGATAGTGCCCAATGTTCAAGTCTGTCAAGATCCTTCTGTATCTTAAGCCTGTCTTCTGGAGTGTTGGCTATACCTGCCAGCTCCAAATCGAAGAGTGCTTGGCCCAGAACAGAGCCCTGGGGCACCCCAGTACACACTTCCATCTATGTAGATGCAATTCCACTGAGGACCACAGGCTGAGTATGGCCAGTCAGTCAGCTACAAATCCATCTGGTGGTGCATAGTATGTAGATATTGTTTATGTCTATGTATCTATTGGTGGGTAATATGTCAGAGTGCAAGCTTCTAGTGTTTTTGGACTTGGCTTGGTCTAAGATGGTCAGTTTCCCAATTGAAAGAATGGTTAAGTCTATATGTTGTGAAATCAAAAGTATTCATCATGTCTTCTGACTGCTAGTTGATGTTCATGCCAGTCTTTTGTCTGTATGTCCTACGTAAGAGCTGTTGCAATCATTAACAAATACCATCATCCATTCACCCATTATACTTACTTTCCAAAGAGTTAATTACTTTTCCAATTAGTTAAAAAGTAGAATAGAAATGCCTCTTGCCAATTTCAATATGATAGTTATTGAACAACCATCTACATCCCATTCTCCCTTCTGATGGTTCAGGAAGCATGTATGATTTTATGTTTACACACCTAAAGAATTTTAAAGACTGAATCCACGCTGGCCGTTGCAGTCTCCTCCCCCCCACCCGCCCTCTCTGTCCATGGCAGCTGACAGCAAGCAAGCGAAGATGGAGGCTAACATTTCTGGCCTTAGATTCCTGAGATTCTCATCGAAGCAGAGATTCCAATATAAGCCAATACATGCTACTCATTCTGTTCTAGATTGGACCTCCTGGACTCTTCCTGAAATGTGAATTCAGAGCATGTTGTATCCAAAATTGAGAATGTTATCTATGTGGAAAGACATGGACACACATACACCCCCTTTAATAAATGTAGAGATGCTTCTGAATGAAGTTAAATAGCATTGTCTGCTACCATTAAAATAGAAAATATGTAGGCCCGAAATACGTTGTACCAAGACTGACACTGTTTCAAACTGTGAGGGCTCTGCTAGTTGGGAAACAAACTGCATTTCAATCTATTTTGTGATATACACAAAAGGAGTTTTTTCTTAGGAGGAAAAATGAACTCTTTCATATGCACATATCCATGTTTGTCCCTTCAATAAAAACAGACATAGTTTCATGGGGATATTTTAATTGGGAAAACAAAAAAGGAAACAACATGGATGACAGCCTTGAAAAAAGGATAATGGAGAAAATAAGATTTCCCAAGATTTATTAGACAATACTGCTTCTTATATATATATTTATACCATACCACCAAGAAATAAACCTACCACTCAAATGTGCCCAAGTTGAAAGAAATCTTTCATTTCTGCTAGGAACTGCATTTTCTCCAACTTCATTCTGGCATAGTATAAATAAAATACGTGTCCATGAACAAATTAAAGCATTTAAAAACTCCTTGAAACATGCAGGGGCATTATGTTTAGAAAGGTTTATCCAGTCCAAGGCATTCTGAATCCCTAATTTGACACTGGGGCGCATTAGGAGGGTTACTGTGGGAAAAAGCTGTTACCTTTTTCCAATAAGACACACTTTGGGCAAAGCACAAGCACCCGATACAAATGGCTGTCACAACCTAGAGGGATCACTCTGTCAGCCATTGGTGACCAATGCAGGACAAACCTCTGTCACATCTTGACAGCTGAGTCAGGAGCACAAATGCTTGTAAATCTGGATAAACCTTGTATCTCTGTTCCTCCAACATGCTTATGAGAAATGACATGGAATGTGGCTTCCCTCCTCAAACGCACAATCATATACACACAAATGCACTGCATAACTCACCCTATATCTATTTTATACTTTTTGCCAATCTTACAGGCTGTTACTGATCCTCACTAAAACTCACCTTGCATTTCATACATAATTTCAATCAATACCAAATGATCTTTTATGACCAATTCCACAAGCCAATCCTATACGAAATATTCTTGTACAAAACTGCTTTTATATAGGAAAAATGTTTTCTTTTTAATTTTAAAATCCTCTCTATATAAACACCTCCCTTCAACAATGTCCTATATCTAAAAAAAGGTCAAGAAGAATGCTGGGTTTTTTTTACAATTGTTAAAAAAAAAAAAAAAAAAAAACACCCATCCACAACCAAAAGCTGCTCTGCAACCTTCGTGTGCTGGAAGTTAAAATGCATCACATCACCCTAGCAGCAGATTAATAAATAAAGATT